TATGAAAACGGCCGCATTTGGAAATAAATCTGATAAATTTTGCCTTGATGGTGAATCTCCATTGGTGGTTATAAAAATCACTATAGTGATAAACCATCACTTGACCATGACCATACTATAAAATTGAGAGCTATGTATGAATTGTTTGGTTTACGGTACATGTTGCTTGATGTTTCGAGATAATGAAACTCAATTTTTGAAAAATTACTGACTTTGAACAAATTGTGGGTTTATTTTAGTGCCGTTACGGAATATTCTTTCAACAAATGAATCAATAGGCATGTAATAAATATGAGTCTCCTGTGCTGCTCTATCAATGAAATCACCACCAAATTGAACAACAGGTTGCTGAGATTAAATTCCTTTGCTGAGTCAAGCAACCTGTTGTTCAATTTGGTGGTGATTTCATTGATAGAGCAGCACAGGAGACTCATATTTATTACATGCCTATTGATTCATTTGTTGAAAGAATATTCCGTAACGGCACAAAAATAAACCCATAATTTGTTCAAAAATTGTTTTGGCGATAAGAATCAACTCAACAACAGTGAAGCAAAAGTTAGCCATTACTTTGTTTTGTACATTGAACACGCGGCAAGATGCGGTGGTATAATATGGATTCATATTTGTAGATGCCAGAAATGGAGTATATGTATATTAATTCGTTGTATTTACTGTACTCCGGAACGGTATACATACATTGATATACCTTTGCGTTCGCTGTCACAAAAGTAGTAGCTGACGCATGCGCTCAACGCGTTAAATGCAAAGGTATACGTTTTAGTATAGACCGATACACATTTCCATACATTTGTGGTAAACGATGAACCATCTCTGGTAAGTGCACTTCACTTAAATCAATCTGGAGATATGGTTAGAAAATATTCCAAATCCGTTCATGTTCCAAAAGCGTAAATAATCGACACGTTTTGTTTATCAATCAATTGCAATTACGTAGAAACAGAGAATCTCTGCCTCAGAGTTTTGTCCCCAACGAATTATTTCAAGTGTTTTGATTTATTGATACAAAATATTTTCAAGTTGAAAAATTGTCTACTCAGAAATTATGGAACGATAAGATTAAATTACTCTCCTTTCTACGATTGAGAATAGAATTAACCTTCACTCTGTGCATGCGTCTCACACCATATTCCCGTGTATTGGGGCGTACAGCGCTTGTAACACATTTTTTATGAATACTGGACTGTGATAAGAGATAAATATATGGTATTTTTGATGAAGTTGTAGGGAACCTTGAACACTACAACTTTGCTGAAGACATTAAGTCGTTATCTCTTATCAGTTACGCGAAAAATGATAAGAAAAAACTCGCAATTTTTGTGGTTTTTAGCGGTACTGATAAGAGATAACGAAATGATGTCTTCGGAAAAATTGTAGTACTCAACCTGCTCTACAACTTTGCCGAAGACTTCGTGAATGATAAGATAAAAAATGATAAGAGAAATGTCGCGTTTTTCGCGGATTCCGCGTAACTGATAAGAGATAAATGATATTTGTCTTTAGCGAATCTTAAGTACTACAACTTTGCTGAAGACACAATTCCGTTGTTGAAATTTTGGAAAAAATTACTGACTTTGAACCAATGATGAATCTGTTTTGTCCCATTGCGAATTGCGAAAATCTTTTTCACAAACAAATCAATAAACTTGCAGCACTGTAATGTGCCCAATCTATCAATTTGGTAATAAAGAAGCAAATAATTCTTCGATTATGGAACATTTGACAATATGGGTATGTCCTTCTTCAGTAGAGAAATCTATTGACGTATCATGTCTTTTAATTCAATGTCAATATCAAATCTTCCATCGATTGAAATGCGTAAACAACTGATTGCATAGTCATTGTTATTGCGGGCCTATATAAGCAGCTAGTTTTCTACGATAGATTCAGTTCAAATTAAACGCTCGATTTCAATTACTGAAGCAGAACAAATAAGATAAACCAAAATGAAATTCGCAATTTGTGTGGTTTTGGTCAGTTTGTGTGTCTTTGCCGGTGCTAGGCCTTACGAGACATCTTGGGGAGACGTCCACAAACCAGAACTTGGCCGCCGGATATTGCACAAGGCAATAGCAGAGGGAGAGCGTCTAGCAACATATACGTTTACCTACCCAATGGTAATGTGCTTTACTCTTATTCAATATTAATTTCTTTCTTCTAATCGCTCGATACAGTCTGAATATTAATTCATTTTATCGCAAATGAATTTGGTCAAATCCGTTTTTTTTTACCAAGAATATTTGTTGTTGAAAACAACTTTCGATAATCTTAATTAAAAACGATACTTATTTTCATTGAACTAATTAGCTAATTTATTTTCGCAGGAACCATCAAAACTTCCAATCTGTGGAGTGAGACAGATCGATCGAAATCCACCAACTAAAGTTGAATTTGTGAAGGGCAACATCGGTGATCATCAAATCACTATAAAAGTTACAGCTGCCAAAGGTCACGATTTGAGTACTGTATTCGTTTTTTACGTCGACAAATGGCCAACAAAGTTTTTTGGCTCCTGATTTTCTGTCAACTTTCTGGGTGTTGAATCTGTCGAAATTTTTAAACTAGCTTGTAAATTTTAAACTAAAGTATTTTTTTTTTCATTGAGAATTAAAATGAATTCGATTATATGACACGTTAAATTCGATTGTTTGATTTCATCATTTATTTGAATTGGGTCGTTTGATACCTGTTGGCTTGTAGCATAAACGATGGTTAAAATTATCACGGAATCAAATAGAATCTCTAGTGGAGCGTTAACACCTACATACACGAGTTCCATTTATGTTTTACCTCTCCATTTCCGTCCATGCTTCCACGTTGCTTCCACCACTGTTTACGTACAAAAATTTTGCTTTCCAGCGAATATATGCCGATTGAACTCATCATCCTCCTTCCAATAAATGAATAAAGAATTCTCCTCATTCTCTCCAATCACAGGCTGTGATTCACAGCCTTTTTGAGATTGTTTCTCATAAGTATTGAATATGAATTCCATTCAAACACTCTTCATTTCATTTAAGCCATCTCTTTCATTCAATTACTCTTCGACATCGAAATAATAAGCTTAAAAGAAGCAAGGCATTCAATTGAGATATAATTGGAACAATTAAAATTCGTTCATGTTCCTAAAACGACACGTTTTGTTTATCAAGCTATTGAAATTACGTCGAAACAGAGAATCTCTGATTCAGAGTTTGTCCCCAACGAATTATTTCAAGTGTTTTGATTTATTGATACAAAATATTTTCAAGTTGAAAAATGGTTTACTAAGCAATTAGGGAATGATAAGATTAGATTGCTTTTCTTATTGCGATTGAGAATAGAGCTACATTAAAAAGTGTTTAAAAAGGTGAGCTGAGGAGGTGCGAAACACGTAGTTATTTTCTGGTGACGTCACTATCTATCAAAGGGAGTGAGAAGCGAAGAACTCAATACAATGTCATTATCAAATGTTCCATCAATTAGAAAAAGCACCCATAAATACTGTGTGACTTTGACATTAGGAAACTAATGTTCAATTTCAGTTAAACTTTGGATTCATACCAGGCCTTAAGATGTGGAATTGAAACTATAAACTCAGATATTACCACTAAATGAAATCAGACTAGCGTTTGTATGTGAGACTCCTGTAATAATTTTTTTTCTGAAATTATCTTGTTATTTATGAAGAAGCACACAGAAATAATTTTGTTTTTACTTGAGACCAAGTGTCTCAACTTTTCCGTTCGTGTGCCGTCGTTGTCGTTGTCGTTGGTGTTTGTTAACACGATAACTCAAAAAATAATTCAGATAATCAAAATCTGGAAATGCCAAAAGTTGTTTTATTCGAAGAACTTAGTTTAAGTTCGAAGATGAGCCATTTTTGATTTGATCCTGGGGTACTTGCCCTAAGAAAAACCTAAAAAAAATTGACACTTTTGTATGGGAGGTACCCGTAAATCGACTCCGATTAGCTTCAAACTTTCTGGAATTTCATTTTTGGGAGAAAAATAAGATTCTGAAAGTTTGAAATCAATCGGAATCGATTTACGGGTACCTCCCATACAAATTTTTTGAAATTTTGACTAAAATTACCGATTTTTGGACAATTTTGTATGGGAGGTACCCGTTAATCGATTCTGAAGGCTTCAAACTTTCTGAGGTTTTATTTTTTTAAAGAAAAATTAGATTTTTAAAGTTTCATGTTGATCGCATTTGCAGAAGTTTGATTTTTGGCCCTCAATTTTTGTCGAAATTTTCTTGGAAAAAATTGAGGGGCAAAAACCAAACTTCTGCAAATGCGATCAATATGAAACTTTCAGAATCTTATTTTTTCTTCAAAAAATGAAACCTCAGAAAGTTTAAAGCCAATAAGAATCGGTTTACGGGTACCTCTCATACAAATTTGTCGAAGTTTTAGTTAAAGTGACCGATTTTTCACATTATTTTTATTATTATATTTTAAGTGAAAATATAATAATGAAAATAAAGTGAAAAATCGGTCACTTTAACTAAAACTTCGACAATTCTGTATGAGAGGTACCCGTAAACCGATCCTCATTGGCTTTAAACTTTATGAGGTTTCATTTTTTGGAGAAAAAATAAGATTCTGAAAGTTCCATGTTGATGACATTTGCAGAAGTTTGATTTTTTGTCCTCAATTTTTAGTATACTGTATAGCAAACTCGAAACTACTCAAAACACTCAGTAGACGTTGACAGTTCTTCGACAGTATACACATTAAACTGAACCAAATGGCACCGAGTAGCACTGAGTAGATTCTAGTATCGACGAGCGTTTGTCGAGTAAGAATTCGTGTCTAACCCTTTGGGTCAATTGAAGTTTGTGTGTCATTTTCATCCAAAAAACGTGTAACCAAATGCTCCACATTAAATATCAATCCATTCGAATAGTTCCACTTGACCATTCAAAGACGTTACGTTGACATCAAGTAATGACTAATGATTTATTAGAAGATTTATTTCATTGACAGAAGCAAGTTTTATTTCATTTAGATTTAATCAAACTTTTATTTGATGAACTTCAATTAAGAATTACATTTTTTTAGGCATTTAAATTCGCAAAATTTCAATTTGATAAGTTAACCAAACGGTCGATGGAAGAATGTAATTAAAATCTATCTTTTATTTTGTCCAAATTAAGCTAATAATGTTTTTCATGACAATTTTTGGTGAAAAATTCTCCTTTCTTCATTTACAATTCAGTTGGTTTTTTTTAGAAAAAGTAAAAATAAAACTGTCAATGTTGATACAGTGAATTTAAATATCGTTGGGTTCTCGATTTGATACTGAATTATTGTGAATTGGTTTGCTATTGAAATTACATTGAATTTTTCGTTGTCTTCTCATTGGTTTTGAAATGGGAAGATTCACTGTAGCAGTTGCGTTAAGTCGTTGAGACTTCATTCGGAGTCGTTGTTTCGACGTTCCAGTTGAACATAGCCCATGTCATCGATGGATGTTTGCCATTTTTTCCTCAACAACAGGCATAGACCTTCGTATTCCGAGCGATCACGAAGTTTGAATTGGAGTTTTTCCAGCGAATGGTATCTGTCTAGAAGGTAGATAACACCAGCAACAGAACACGTAACACGATTCAAATTGAATATCTTCAGTGAAGGTAATGCCTTGCCAAATTGCCACAATTCAACATCATCCTCCTCTTCGAAGCTCAAAGAAAGTTCGGTTATTGTTGGGTGTGTGCTTATGAACTTTAACAAGTGCTTGTTCAGTTTTCTTGCTCGAAGTGTAAGTACCTTTAGACGACCAAATGACAGTGGAATTGCTTGGGTGTCAGTATCACCTGGATGGAAGTTGACTTCGAGTTTTTGTGCACGTCTTTTGAAGTACATTTCATGCACGATCAGAACAGAGCAGCGTTCATACCACTTGATGTCCAGATCTTCCACAAACTGTAGATATTTGCTGACGCTACGGAGAAACTTGGCATTCACGTTGTAAAAAGCTACGCTTCGCAGTTGTGGATTTAAGTACAAAGCAATTCCAACACTGGTTGTGTCAAATATATCCGCCGCTACACCCATTAGAATAGAGGAGAGGGTTGGAAAGTCGATCGTTAAATGTTCCAAGTGAGGAAATGGCATCATTAAGCATTTCAAATTATTCGATTTAGTTTCATTTAGGATCTTTAGACATCGAATTTGCGGGAACCATTTGTAAATATCCCTCAATTGTTCGTTCAAATGGCAATCGCTGAACTCAAGCACCTCTACTTTTGAAAATGGCTTCTTGAAGTCATCCATTCTATTTTTTTTTAGAGCGACTTGAAATGTTCAATTCAATCAAAGTATCAGCGCAGTATTCGTTCAAATGACAAAGCAGCTCGTCATCATCAAATTCCATTTGAAATTTCTTGATCAGATGTCCAAAACAGTGCAGAAAATTCAAGCAAACTGTAATATCACCTATGGAAATGATGCCATTTTGATACTCAATCGTTTGATCATATGATGGGCTGCATTTCACCGTTTCCAATTGGAATTTAGCCAGAAATACGGTTTCAATAGCCATTTTTCTTTGAGCATTTGATTCAGCAGCTTGCAAAAGGTCCTCGAGTTCCATGTGGATAAGAACGTTGAAGACATCATCAAGATCCTCTTCTCCTGAATCGCTCGATTCCATAGTCATGGAATTAGATAAAGATTGTGAGATGTTTTCGTCATCTGTTGTTTCCATTATCTCAGGTTCAATGGTTTCAGACGACGGTGCATTTCCATCAGACTGTGTGTTTTCAATTGACCCAGTACTTTCGATCAACTCCTCGAAATCACCCGGTTCATCCTCATTTATAGTATTGATCGTTCGATTCACTTCAACATATGGTCGTGTTTCGGTTGCTTGCCATTCGTTGCTCAAACTTTTCTCGAACTCTTCAAATGTTGAATCACTTTCATCCTCTCCAAATCGAAACTTCAAACTTTTCAGAGATTTACATTGTTTTATGAAGTCAAGCGCTTCATTTGCTGAAAATTCACAGTAACAGAAGTCAATTTGGGTTAGTGTGGAACATGCTCTGGCCAGTTGCATTTTATCTACTGTTTTCATCGCGGGTGAATCGTTATCAAAAATATTCAGTGTTAATTTATCCAAGGACAAATGATTGTTGATAAAGTCATACAATTCGTGCAACATCCCACATTCATCGTTCCATTTACAATTCACCGTTTTGAATGTAAACTCCTTGAGTTGATCGCATAATAGTGGAATTGATGGCACCAAATCACTTCCATGTGAATATTTGATTGAAAGTATTTTCAGGTGTTTGAATTTAGCTTTCGAAACATCTGCTTGAAATACTTCGTTGTCCAAGTCAAATTCAAGGGTTTCCAGAAGTTGTAAGTGGTGGCTTGCATTTCGAAGAAAAGCTCCATCCAATTTTATACTGCCATCAATTTTCAATTTCAACAAATTTGGATTCATGCGCAATGTTTGAGCTACATTTGATTTAGTAAACGATTTCCAGTGGTCCAACCAGAATTCCAATTCTTTTAAGTGTGGGAAAGGAGCCTCGATACACCTGCGTTCAGAGAATTCATTATAGCTGGAAAATACCAAACGACGCATCATCGGGAACCATCGATTGAAATCGGTTGAGTTGCTTGACAGAGTACAATGTTCAAATTTAATCGTCTCAATTTTTGTGAACGGCTTTTTAAAGTGATTCATGATGTATGTTGGGGCATCTTTAATTTTCAATTCAATCAATGAGTCGGCACAGTACTCGTTCACACAACGATCTATTTCGATACAATTCTCTGGACTAATCATCCAGTAAACAATATCCAGTTTTGTGATCATATGCCCGAAAAAACGTAGCACTTTGATCCAATTTTCTATACTCAGATCAGAATGATTATTTAAGTACAACCAATCCGTTCCATATTTTTGAGCAAATACCATCTCGATGGCTTTCTTTCTTCGGTAGCTCAATTCGGTCTGTGTCAAAAGTTTATTCAATATCAAATTGTCAAGATCTACGTTGTTTTCAAGTGATGGACTGGACGATCGTTCGGTTATTCTGCTGCATTCCACTTCTTCTTCGCTTACATCCTCGGAATTTGTCAAATGTTGGTCGTCTTCACCAGAATCGGTTGACATATAGCCAATATCAGAAGGTCCCACTTCCACCGCATCTTCGGCTTCATTTAAAACTTCGACAACTTCTTGTCTTTGACATTTCGGATTTTGTTCATTGTCTTCTTCTCTTTGCCGTTTCTGGCTCGTTTTGGTGCTTGCATCAGCCATACCAATTGTTTGCTGATATCCAAACTAGAAATTAATCGGAAAAAAGAACGACATTTAAAATATCAACGAGTCAGTTTTACTTTTGCATGAATAGCGAAACGCACTTTTTAAGGTTAGGTGGCAACAATGACATGGGATATTGAATGTATGTTTGAATGAAATTCTCTTGTTCATTGACCCTTGACCAAATACAACTAATAGTTTTTAAAATTCGATCAATTATTTTGAAAGCAATTGATTTTGTAGACTATGGTTGAAAATAACAAAATTCCTAGCAATTATGATTTCCAGCTAGATTCTTTTCATCGGACATTTGCCATGTGCTCTAAACACTTACTCACCTTTGGAAGATTTGTGAGAAAAAATCTCGTTTTCGATGTGCAATTCAAAGTTGTTCAAAAGATTTCGTTTTATTTAACCGAATATGCGTAAGAATAATGAATTTCTATCGGAAACAAATGCAATGGTTCAATTATTTTAGATTATTTAAGGATTTAGTTCACTGTATCAAAAGCTATGACAGCAGTAGTGTGAGAGAACATGGTTTGAAAGCGCGAGTTTTTTTTTT